CACTGGTCACTATATTCTTCATTTCCGGTTAATACTTGTACAGCTGCTGTTATTGTGTATATATTTATTTATATTTAGATTTCTTCATACATTCTTATATAGTTCTATATTGTGTATTTTGTTGTACAGTTATTTTATTTTCAACTTTAATTTATATATTTTATCTTATTCTTCCCAGTTAAATTTACCCTTCATTCTAATTTGTGTTGTACAGTTATTTCATTTTTAACCTTAATTTATATTTTATTCCTTCCTAGTTAAATTTACCCTTTTTAATTTTTCATATTTATTTCCTATCTTATTCATAGCCTTTTCCTTTTTTGTTTTCTTTAGGTCATGAGCAGTTGTCCAAGCATTTCACTACATATCGTACTGTGTATGACTGTGTACGTGACAAATAAAATTTGAATAAAATTTGAATTTGAATTTGAAAAAGTTGCTTTTAACCGGAGGAGTTACCAAATGTACTATGATTATGCATTTCATCTGGATGCTGCAACTGAGCAGAAAACAAATATGGTGTGTTTACCAGTATTGCTTTCTTTAAAAATACAAGTAAGTCATTGTATAATTTGGCTGTTACAGAAAGCCAAGGAAGTTTATTGTGCATTTTATCGATATTTGTATTGTATGAACACCTTAACACTAATCTGGCCGCCTTGTTCTGGACTAACTGAAGTTCAGATCTGTCTTATTAGCTGCTGACCAAATGACTGAGCAGCACTCTAGATGAGATAACACTAGTGCATTAATGACATCTTTCATAACAGAAGTAATACAAAAGGAGCATTTCCTAGCTATAGCTATGCCCTGTCCCATTTTCCTTATAACAGAGTTGATGTGCTGAGACCATGAAAGGTGGTGGTTTATGGTAACACCAAGTAATTTAGTCTGGGTGACCTGTTCTAATACCGATCCAGCTATGGAAAGATTTAGCTGTGAGCTGTTGACTAAGCGTCCTCTACTTCCTATTAACATGGATTTGGATACGTTTAAAATCATGTTGTTTTTACTTATTCAGTCAAATATGTTCAGCAAATCTTGTTGCACTGGTCAATTCAGAGTAAAACATGGTGGAATCATCAGCATACATTACAAGATGAGATTTATCCAGGACGTACGGCAGATCATTCGTAAAGACTGAGCAGAGAAGTGGACCGAGGCAGCTGCCTTGGGGTAGAGCACAGTTCATTTCACAGCCCTCAGAGAAATAACCATCATAATAAACCTGTTGCCTTCTTTCAGACAAATAACTTTCCATCCAGCACAAAGCATCTGGTGAAAATCCATAACATTTTAGTTTATCTATTAAGAGATCATGATTTATCAAATCAAATGCAGCACTAAAGTCCACGAATGCCAACCCGACCAGGTTCCCATCATCTAGATGTTTATACCAGTTATCTGAGCTGAGCTGGTGGAGTGACCAGGTTTGTAGGCATGTTGAAACTGAGTGAGTAACTGATTTTCATAATTTTACTTAGACCAGTAATCGGTCTGCTATTGACACCATTAAAAACGTCGTTCTTGTTTTTAGGGATGGGAATTATTTTCGATTCTTTCCACTGCAATGGAAATGAGCTGCATGCCAAAGATCTATTACATATGTGACATAGGGACCCAAACTTGGCTGCAACTTTGAGCAGTTTGCTGTCTGTGTTATCAGAGGATGTATCGTCAGGAAGTGATATCAATAAGCGCTCTACCATCTCAACACTCACTGCCTCAAACTTAAATTGGCTTTGCTTATTATTCACGATAACATCCTGTATAAGTGATAAACTGGGATCGCCTCGGCTCATATTAGATTTTAAATTTGTTATTTTATTGCTGTAGTAATTAAAAACATTATTGGCCATAGCTTTACTCATAAACGTTCCACCCGTGTAGATGTGAGACACCACCGGAGCAAGATCTCTACCCATTATATTTAAAACTTCCCACACCTTCTTTCCGTCCTTACTGGCCTCCTTGAGCTTCAGTTGACAATATTCTTTCTTCTTGCACATATTCAGTTTAGTTACTTGATTTCTTAACTCGCGATATCTTGCCCACTCTTGTGGACTGACAGAATTATTTGCTTTTGCTATATCTCTTTCTGACGTTGCAGCCTTAAATTCATTATCTAGCCAAGTTCTTTTTAACAGTACATCTCCATACGGGGGCATGTTTGTCAGCCAGGTAGCAAAAGTTTGCACAATATCAAGAAGGTCCTAAGGCTACAACTCAATTTAGCCTAATTTATAACAACAGGCCGGTCAAATGAAACCAAAAGCATCAAGCATAGACTGGAAGACAGGAGCTATTAACAGCTAAATTTTAGAAAAGCAACACAAAGACTTGATACAAGGCAAATAAGCCTTAGAAAGTAGGTTTCTGCTCCTTTGACATCAAACTTGCCTTGTCACACATTAGTATTTGTGCCCTTTCCCAGAATTCCTTGATTGTTATTAAGCTACGTCTGGAAATGAAATGAAGACATGCCGTAGGCAACAGCGGTTCACCACCGAATCGCTGTAAAATGATAGTGAGGTAACGATGAAAGAGCCCTATTGTGTAACAGCTCATCACAGGACTGACCGTCACCCTGCAGCTAAATTCTTAACCATGAGTGTTTTTGTCAGTGATGTTCTGATTTTTCAACTCTGAAAGAGCACTTACTGTAGATAAACAGATTGTAGTTACAATGTTCTCCAAGGAAATGAAAGTAATTCTGAAGGGTTGATTACCACCTTTCAGTGGCCTTTTACATCCTACCATCTTCAGGTCAAACACCTTCAGGTTTTGTTTGGTTTCATAACTTCTTCATAAATTCTGTAAAGGATTCTACATCCAGCACAACGTTGAGTGTTAAAGAACCAATAATGACAAAACTATGCCAACTGTGAAGGTCTGCACTCCACTGCCTCAGCAACACAATTTCACAAGTATGAAAACATAGATACAGATACTGTACTCAGCTTTCGTAAATTACAAGCCTGCAAACTCTTCAACACTTTAGAACATGTTAAATGGAAATCTGCACTTCACTTGTTTACAGCAGTATTTCACAAAGACTGTTGTTTTGGTTTCTTGTAAACCGGAGATGATTTTTCACTGGCATTCTCTGAACGTGAAGAAAACTCGTTGAAAGGCGATGGCTGCCTCCGGCCTTGTGATGCCTCAGACTGCGCCTGGTCTTTCTGCCACAGCGCCCGGGCGACCAGCATGATGCTAAAACAGAGATATTCAAGTTCAGTTGAGTTTGGCTGAAATACTTGAGATTGAAAACGGTTAAGATTTCAAGTAAAATAATTCTATATAAATCCTATACGCAATAAACAGTGTAATAATTTAAGATACGAGATGCCATCTTACTTTTCATTTATATTCTTCTTGATGGTAGAGACAGCTCCTTCGAAAAAGAAAAAGGTGAAAACTCTCATGGTGTGCCAAGTCAACAGAAGAAGCTCAGGCATCTGCTCGAACAGCAACTCCAGCCTGGTGGAAATAGAGAGGTCACAGTGATTGCATCTGCATAAAAAGTAAATAACAAACTACAAGTACAGTAATGTGAAAAAGAAAATACGCTGTCTTTAATTGTTTTACATATTAGGAAATATCGTCTGGTCCTCACCAGAATTTAAAATGAGATAAATACAGCCTCAGATGAACAATAAAACATGACACGTTACAATGTGTAATTATTGGTTTAGCAAAAAACGAAGAAAACTAAGCACACCTTTAACAGCAAGAGCTTTTTGTGTATGACTAATCAGTCTTTCACATCACTGTGTTGGGATTTAGGCCCATTTTCTTTACAAGATTTCTTCAATTCAATTAAAGTTGATCTATATATATATGTGCCAAAAAACACCAATAATTGTCTCAAGGCGCTCTACACTGGAGACAGTGGGAAGTAAAGTTCTGGCAGAACCAGTTTGTATGGGGTGTTTGTGTCGACATGCTCTGTTTGGTTTTCTCTAAATATGGCGCAGGGCATTAAATCCAACATCCTCACGTTGATCTTGGCTCTCCACAGTACATTGTTCCAGATGCAGCTTTGTAAACTTAAGGCATGCTGCAATCTTCTTTTTAGAGAGAAGAGGCCTTCTCAACTATTAGAAAAAAACTCCTCCTTGGTCAATCTTCTCTAACTGTACTGTCATGAACTTTTTAACATGCTAACTTCAGTCTGTACAGTCTGAGGTGTAGCTGCTGGTCATCGTGCTGTATTGGGATGATTAGGATGTGTTGCAGAGATGCTGCCTCTGTTTAAGGCAATAGTCTGACAATCTGGGACTTCTTTATTTTCTTGCAGAACGTTGAGCGAGATCAGTCATTCTAAAAACAAAAATTAAGAAGCTAAGTAAAAAGCTGCAGGTTGCAGCTAATGTAGTGTTGCATAATGATAAACAATGGAAAGCACTGCTATCAGTAATTCTAAAAGGTATAAGAGACATTACCACATTATGTCTCTGCACAAAAGTAGGAATTACAGAACTCCGTCACCATCTATTAGCAGCCGTTTCCTGGAATTATCCAGCAACCTCATGATGATCACATCATCTCAGAAATTTATGGTCATTAGTGAAACGATCGAGCTGTTTTCTTTCTTCTTTGTTTATCAAACAAAAACAAAGAGAGTTTCAGAGCTTCGGAGCACACAAAGTTTCTGCTGGCCTGTCTGTGTTCAGCGTGTTCATTACCTGTCCCTGTTCTGCAGCACAGCGTAATAAGACAGCATGAGGGGCAGGAGCAGGTAGGATAGGATTCTTGCAGGGAGTCCAAACATGTTCAGATAAGTCATCACGTTGCTCAGCAACACTGAAACGCAGACATGAACAAAGATAGCTTTGCAAAGGCAAAGTGGAACAATATGAATGTTCTGGTTGAGTTTCTACTGAATCATTCATCGTTCTGTTGACATCACATTGACAAACTGACCAACGTCAGATTTCATTTACATTGCTATGAAATTGCTATTTCCCTATTAGTAATATTTGTGCCTGTGAGTGTGTTCAAAACATGCCGTTTTTCACAGTATCAAAATGGAGAGGAGGATACTGTGCAGCTTCCTGTGTGGTCGAGTCGCTCATCTGAATGGTTCCGTTGTCTATAAAAGATGTCAGCTCGGTCGTCCCGTTTTCCAGCTTCTTCTTCTCCTCTTCATCTTTCATGGTTTCCAGATGAAGCCATGTGATATTCTGATTAACACTAAGTGGCCCTTGGGACAGTTTTGAACATAAGAGAAAGGAATTAAAGATAAAGTTAGGTAGATTAAGTTTAGCCAAGAAAAACTGTTTGTTTGTTTGTTTGTTTGTTTCTTTCTTTCTTTCTTTCTTTCTTTCTTTCTTTCTTTGTAACTAGCACCTGACTCACCATTACTCTGAAGGAAATGAACAGCATCTTTGTAGCCACTGTGAAAGGCTTCCTCCATATTCTGGAGAGGAAAAAATGACATAAACATAATTAAATGTGACACAATGAAATGAAAGATCAAAAATAATGTAATGTTTTGTAGCATAATGTTTAATTTCCTTTGCTATATTTCTAAAAATGTTAAACACAAACTATTACACAATAATAGATTGAGGATAGAGATGGGGATACAGGCAGTATAGGATATGGCCACATATAGTTTGGGTCTGACCTCCAAAGTTGGGTAAATGGCATTGATGAACCTGAAGCTGTTGTCCAAATTGCCCTTTAAAGTGACACCATGCGTTACAATGTCCAGCCAACATGGTGCGTCGCCAGGGCAGATGTCACTCTCTCCAGAAAATGGGCACACGGTCAGTGTGCGACTGGAGGATCCAGGCGCTATAGGCTGAATGCCGCTTAAGCCACCATCCAAATAGAACTGCAGCAGAGATTAACATTTGGGATTTTTATTTTGAAAACAGGGCTCACAAGGTGCGTGGAGGGAAGTTTTGAGGCCACCAAATACTCACTACTCCTTTGAATGATGGAGGTACAAAACCACAGTAACCAGGCAAAAAACAGCTACAAAGCAGTGCCTGAACACAGCACACAACAGTTTTTAGTCAACATAGTTATTAAGGTTTGTTTTTTACTTTTCTTATTTCTGAGCTCCAAAACAGCAGAGCAAGCGTACCTGTACTACATCTTCTTTGGAGTCAAAATCAGACATGAGAATTTGCTCGCCATCCGTCAGACGGGTCATGGTAACAGCAAGGCGACCGTTGGCCAGTTGGTGCGCATTAGGCGGAAGATGCTTGTTTAAAATACATTCCAGCCAGTGAAAAAGCTTGATTGAGGGGTTCAGTGGTCCAAGGGTAAAAGACTTCACTTCCTTGGCAAAATGAATCATCTCATCCCGAATGGTAACTGTGAATTAGAGGATTGGGGGAATAAATGTGTAATGAATACATCCAACAGAAGTCATTGCAGAACATAAGAAAGAGTCACTTACTTAGATTCATTTCACAAACCACAGCAGCTGCTACCAGAGAACCAGCAGATGAGCCAAGGATGCTAGGTGCGGAGTGAAGTATCCAGGGTGCATAATGTAGGAAGCACTGGGCGACGCCTAACTGGTAGGTGGCCAGGAACCCTGATCCAGAAAAGGAGATGGACTGAGGACCTTCAGTGTACTGATAACTGGAAACTCCGGGGGTCATTTTCAATGATCTGTTTAAATATTGTAAATGGAGAAAAGCTTTTTTTTAAAATGGAGAACAAGCTAAGGCGAACTTAGATGAACTATCCACTCAGATCTTGGGAGAGGGTTTCACAGTCAGTGTTTTTAAATTCATTGCAATTAGACATAGCATGTTGGTCACGCTCATGTGAACAGGGGTAAAACAAGGATTTCTAATGTTGGGAGGTTGTGTAGCTCCATGGTTGCAATGCATAAACCAAAATACTTTCGCATATATACTATTTGAATAAAAACACTTTAAACAAGATGAGAGAAGGTGGAAAGTTTTACTGAGTGCACATAAACTGATCAACTCCCAGCTGTTGCCAATAAAACGCTTCTGCGATCTTCTGTTCATCAGTATCATATATAAGAGTGATAGTCAATATTTAATTTATAATTACTTGACTGATATTTCAGAGTATACAGGGAGTGCAGAATTATTAGGCAAATGAGTATTTTGTCCACATCATCCTCTTCATGCATGTTGTCTTACTCCAAGCTGTATAGGCTCGAAAGCCTACTACCAATTAAGCATATTAGGTGATGTGCATCTCTGTAATGAGAAGGGGTGTGGTCTAATGACATCAACACCCTATATCAGGTGTGCATAATTATTAGGCAACGTCCTTTCCTTTGGCAAAATGGGTCAAAAGAAGGACTTGACAGGCTCAGAAAAGTCAAAAATAGTGAGATATCTTGCAGAGGGATGCAGCAGTCTCAAAATTGCAAAGCTTCTGAAGCGTGATCATCGAACAATCAAGCGTTTCATTCAAAATAGTCAACAGGGTCGCAAGAAGCGTGTGGAAAAACCAAGGCGCAAAATAACTGCCCATGAACTGAGAAAAGTCAAGCGTGCAGCTGCCAAGATGCCACTTGCCACCAGTTTGGCCATATTTCAGAGCTGCAACATCACTGGAGTGCCCAAAAGCACAAGGTGTGCAATACTCAGAGACATGGCCATGGTAAGAAAGGCTGAAAGACGACCACCACTGAACAAGACACACAAGCTGAAACGTCAAGACTGGGCCAAGAAATATCTCAAGACTGGTTTTTCTAAGGTTTTATGGACTGATGAAATGAGAGTGAGTCTTGATGGGCCAGATGGATGGGCCCGTGGCTGGATTGGTAAAGGGCAGAGAGCTCCAGTCCGACGCCAGCAAGGTGGAGGTGAGATTTACAAGGAGGGAAAACAGTACACCTCTCTGAACAGTGTCTGGGAGGCTGTGGTTGCTGCTGCACGCAATGTTGATGGTGAACAGATCAAAACACTGACAGAATCCATGGATGGCAGGCTTTTGAGTGTCCTTGCAAAGAAAGGTGGCTATATTGGTCGCTGATTTGTTTTTGAATGTCAGAAATGTATATTTGTGAATGTGGAGATGTTATATTGGTTTCACTGGTAAAAATAAATAATTGAAATGGGTATATATTTGTTTTTTGTTAAGTTGCCTAATAATTATGCACAGTAATAGTCACCTGCACACACAGATATCCCCCTAAAATAGCTAAAACTAAAAACAAACTAAAAACTACTTCCAAAAACATTCAGCTTTGATATTAATGAGTTTTTTGGGTTCATTGAGAACATGGTTGTTGTTCAATAATAACATTATTCCTCAAAAATACAACTTGCCTAATAATTCTGCACGCCCTGTAGAAGGTTCTGCACTGGAGGCTAATGGGACTGTTAATGTCTAAGATTAAAACAGTCGTTTTGTTGAGTTGTGACCTTTACTTCAGTCGTGTTGTTAATGTGGTGAGGTTTCTAAAGTTGGAAACAGTGATTTAGCATCACCCAGGCTCCTGTAGCAATTACTGACTTCCGCCTGATCTTTACGTCATGCAGTGTTGCCTGTTGGACACAGGAGTCACATGAGATGTCTGACTCCTGACAGATAATGTTACTATTGTCTGCAAGTAGGCGACTCTTGACTTTCTTAAAATTAAATTAACCTCTTAAGCTCCAAGCCTAACTGATCTCCTGCCTTTTGCCCTCGTATCAGGAGGCGTTGGGGCTTAAGGGGTTAATTTGGTGTATGTCTGTTGTGTACCTCATTAAGCATTATACACCAATAATAAACTAGCTTTTCTAACTTTCTTAACTTTACTTTACTTGGTACTTTACATGCATTTTTTAAGCAAAGCTGACTTATTTTTGCAGTGTTGGATATTAGAGGAGACATTGATGTAATGTAAGCTGCTCTGGTATTTTGCTCAAACCATGCCAGCTACCTAGACAGTTTCAAATGAACTTAATCTCAATGTAACAGATGCGGCTTTTATACTATTTGGATCAAATCGACATGTTGAATAAGTAAATTATCGAACTGATTTGCATTCAGGTGGGGACATAAAAAGCTGAAATGTCAGTTTACAGTCTACGTCTGTGCTGCCATCTGTCTGATCTGTTTAATTAACATCAAACTGACAAAGTGGAGATGGATATGTAAGCCTGTGAAACACTCTACACAAGCCTCTATTTTACGAATTCTACAGCTCCAGCTGAACAGAGTTATTATACCTAATAGGTCAAAATGTTTTTAGGCCCATACTGTAAAAACTGCATTGTCAAAGATGGGTGTAGTAAAAGACGAGCATCCGCAGATGACGAGTAAATCAGCCATGGCTCAGCCAGTCTTGTTTAAGGCCTGTCTTATAACATGTGGTGACTTTTTGTCTTTTCCTTAAAACTAAAAATATTCAAAAGCTGAACCACTGTAGGAAATACGAGTATTTGAATCATTGAATTGTAAATCCTATTAAATTTACAACAGCACCCCCTGCTGGCAAAATTCAGACCATTCAACTGTCATGAGTGAATATTGCAATTGTTTAGCAACGATCTATTTTTGTCCTGACGTTTGGCTTGTCATAAGAAGTTAACTTTATCATTTTCATCTCAGAAAAACATTTATATGAAATGTTTTACCAACATATATAATTGGGATAGCTCAGTAGGTAGAGTGGTTGCCCCATGATCGGAAGGTCGGGGGTTCAAATCCACTGAACGGCTGCCCTGAGGTGCCCCTGAGCGAGGTACCGTCCCTGCACACTGCTCCCTGGGTGTCCAGTGGCTGCCCACTGCTTCACTGAGTGAATGGGTTAAATGCAGAGAGAAATTTCCCCCCAGGGACAATAAAGTATACATTAAAATATTTATTTTTCCAAAGCAAGTTCAATGCAAACTTTTCACACACACACACACAATGAAACACCAAATACTTAACCTACGGATAGAAAAAGCTGCTTTCCACCACTGAAAAAAATAACAATTTGTAAAAATCCCAATCTGAGCTACGCTGAAGATTTCAAGGTATTACTACGTAAGCTGAAACTTTCAGATACCCTACCAAAAATGGGAGATAATAACCTGACATTTTGACTTATTGATGGCAATTTTTTTCTAGTGGTGGAAACAATCTTGAATATTAACCAGCATTCAAAACAAAAACAGTTATTTATCCTCTCTTATGTTATTAAACTCGTATTGGACTGTAGTCATTTCCAACCCATAGCTGCAAGACCTGTAAAGTTTATGAAAATAACCCTGTTATGTGATTATATTGAACGAAGCAGATAATTTTAAGTTTTGCTGGCTGGATAATTCTGTGATTAATTTCACAGTTTTCCTCACTCTTAATATTAGTGTTTACCCAGATCACAGTTATACACACATTGATTCAGAGAAAAAAAAATAATAATCTCACAGTAAACAACACAACTGTGTTTTTTCAGACTGTACATGCATTTTTTCCTCCCCTGAAAGCTCAAACCACGAGATAAATATATTACAACCTCCTATTTTATTCGGTAAGAGCCGTGCTGCTACACATGATCCACGCTTTTATTCTATCTCACTGGTGCACCAGTCGGGGGAGGCTGTGGAGACGTCCGATCAGGGGAAACCTCAAAATGGTCTTCAGAGAACTCTTGTGTAGGACTGGAGTCCGGGAAGTCGCCATCGTGAGGTGGAGTGTGCTCCAGGGCGCCGGAAGCCTCGACCTGCTGTTTCTTGATATCTTGAGGGAGTTTCAGAAACCTGAATGGAGGCGACGAACAGGCAGGAAGGATGAGTTTGAATGTTATTTAAGAGGAAAATAGAAAGCGGATGACAAAGAAAGGAGCAGAGACGAGACCTGAAAAGGAGTTTTTGTCCTCTTTCTTTTTTGATAATGTTCAGTTTGTAGTAATGCCGTAAAGCCCGAGACATTTTCTCATACGTCATATTTTCTCGGTTCTGTAAAAAGAGATCATGCATCATTAGTCATGCAAGTCATGCACTACATTATTCACTTTTCCCCAATGTTCCCTGCTTTTTTCTGTTTTGTTTTATTCTCCACCTGTGTAGCCGTTTTTCCTGATGGATGAAGCACAGAGAACTGGGAACTCACCTTGTGGTTTCCCCAGAGCCGTGCCAATCCATTGGGGTCCACCACCCTGAAAACCAAGCTGTCCGGATCTTCCCATCGAATGTATTCTTGGTAACGGTCATCACAAAGCAACTGATACACATAGTCCCACAGCAGCCTGCACTCTGGCCATGATTAGAAGAGTAATAACACACGTGTTGGCAGAACTTACACTACTGTCACAAATATACGTATTTAAAGTTCAATTCAGTACCATTTAGTATATTTTCACTCTCAGTGCCACGTTCCAATAAACACGTATAAAAATGGCGTAGTCACAAGTGTACATGCACTAATCATGTGGATGAATGCCACGGTCATTTACATCTTTTAATGATTTATTCGACCTGTTCTTGTACAGCAGACATCTTTAACGACTTTAGAAAACAAGAACTAGGTACACAAGTTTATATTTATTTTAGGTTCTCTCTAATCCACACAGGGTCAACAGTATATATACACAGGCTCACTAACATATAGTTGAATGTCCCACAGCAAGATGCATTTAGTAGCCATCAACAAGCCACTTACCATTCATCTTGGCAGAAATGGTCAAATTCATGTAAATTGGTTGGTTTCCTGGTTTTGAGAGTAGTCGCACTGTTCGAATAACTTGTACTTACACACACTTGCTGATAATATTGGAATCTGGAGTTGTTTAGAAATTTCAAGAGACCTTCTGAAGTTCTATCTGTGTTCTTTCTTTTTTATTATTTTGGTAAAGAGAAACGACCAATTGTAGTTAAACAACACTGCAGGACTTTCATCACCACTTATTAAGAGATTTAAGTGAATGTATGTATACTTTTCTCCCTGTGTGGATCAGAGAAAGTCATTAAAGATGTATGTTGTACAATCATTCCACCCGGACAAAGAACAGTTCAAAGAAAATCATTGAAAGCCTCAAATTGCCACGACATTCGCGCTCATGACGAGGAAACTTCTCACCACAAGTGTACCTGTAAGCCTGACATTAACATATCATTTTGAGCCGTCATTTAGACATAACAAAAGAATAAAATAGCCAACTATTGAATATTTAAAGCGCAGGTCCACTTTTGGGTTATTGCTTCAGGATGTTGTGTCTGTTTTGCTCTTTACCTCACAAACAAATCCAACGTGTTGGACTTAAAATAGTTTCTAGGAAACTGAGTGTGTTCATGTTATTGGTGCATTTGCTGATTGTATATAAAATGCTGTTTATGATATATGAGATTTTTTTTCTTCACTTTTTAAAGAGACACGGTTTTAACAATTCTGTGTGTTTTCTGTGATTAAATACATGAAGAGCACAATAGTCAACAAATTATTGTAACAATACCTGGGATGCGACCGTTTGCCTTGTGCAGCGGACTCCTTGGCTTATGTCGACTGGAGAGGTTCAGAGGCTCCGGGGTGATGTTCTTCGTTTGGGGATTACACTCATCCTGATTGTGGTGCAATGTTGAGGTACCCGCTGATCCGTCTGAGAGACACAGACGGCAACAAAGAAATGAAGCCTCTGAAACAGTAGGAATTGCAGGACAATTTACTTCTGCTATGGCCATTTGTCATACTCACTCTTTTGTGTGAGTGGTGCAGACAAGGTGTAGCAGATGGGGCGATCTGTAAGGGCTGACACTGATTTTGGCTGGCTGCTTACAGTGGCCCCGACAGCAGCCAACACTGTGGTGGTGAAAGCGGGTAAAACTGTGAGTCAGAAATATGAGGAAATGTGAAACGCTAAAGTGAAAGTAAAAGTGACTTTACAGCCACATGAACATTTTATAATATCAGGCTTAGCACAAGCTAATGTTTAACACAGAGACTGTTTTACTTCTAGCAGACAGAGCGCAGAACAAAGTCATTCTTCTGAACTTGAGAGTTAAAGGATCCTTTTTCCAGGAAACTGAAGACCATTGGCCAACACATTCTTTTTCTGGGAAAGATTATACAGTTGTTTTGCTTGACAAACGTTTGTGGGTGTGTGTCTTTGTGTAGTGTACGCATACACCATTTATGGTTCTGGTACTTCAGCATTTCCATTTCTTCATCATTATAAATTATGTGATAACTGCTTAACGCATCATGTAATTAGGTGAGCAAATAAAATCCGTTTTTGCAGAGAAGTCAATCAAAGTACCCAATCACAAAATAATGAGGGTTTATTTCATCTTTGCCAGCGAATCACTATTCCTCACATGTGAAGAAAAAGCACAGAGCAAAGGAAAACATTTCAGTTAGGGGTGAGCAAACATTGATTAGCGTCAGTCTTTAAATTTGGGGGATAAGAAGTCAATGGATGTCCTCACATGTAGAGTAAAACAAAAGTGGGAAAGAGAAAGGATTCCCACGTGATATGTTTGCACATGTGGTAGATCAGGAAGTATTCACACCCACGATCCAACCAGAATAAACGAGTTCTTATGTGGATACAAATGTTCCTGAAGACTAGAGATCCTCCTAAAACTTTACAAGAGGCAGAGCCTCTGATGAGAACCAAACCAAAGGTGCTTTTATCTATTATTCTGTACACAGACCAACAGGTAATGTTCAGTGTGTCCAATCATGGCCACATTCAAATCTAAACAAAAACATTTCTCTCTCCCTGTGTGTCTTTGTTGAATTACTGTACACAACACACTGCTACGTTTCTTGTCATTTCTTTAAATTTTACTCTATTTTTTCTTTTTTTACATTCTATTGCTGATCTAATGCATTTTCTTTTTTGCCCCATGTAAAGCACTCTGAGTCTACAACTTGTGTACAAATACATCTGTCTGCCTTTACACTGAACTGTAGTATAGCAGTATATATATTTATAAATGTACTCCTTAATTTTACTCACCCAGGGTGCCACTGACTTTGGGAGACTGTGGCTCTTGGACTGTGTGAGCGATTACCTGGCAGCTGACTGGACCCTGAAGGTGTCCAGCTGCCACGGGAGGAGTTGTGTTAGGCGGGTCACATACCACACTCCTCCTCTGCTGCTTCACACACTGAAGGATCTCATACAGAACATCACCTGCAGAAAAATGAGGGATTTCATATGAAAATGCAGCCACGGAAACAGGTGACTTCGATCTACTAACTCATGTCCACCTGAGCTGGGGCAGCGGCGTCTGAAGTCCTCCTTAGTGAGGAGACACAAGGCTCTGCCGTTCATCTCAAATCGGCCCTTCTCCGGCCGGCGCAGCGAGTACTCCTTTTGAGCCCAGTGGAGCCACAGGGAAACATCATCTTTATCCCACAGGGACGGGTTAATTCCTGGAAACAATAAATGCATCATTTCAAATCTAATGTGCTTGCAGAAGGTGCTGCATATGTGTATCTGCAGTCATATCTGCAATTAATATTAACAGATAAGTAGAACAGAGAGGATAATTTAACTCACTCAGCCTTCCAGGCAGATGCCACAAGTCTTCTTGAGTGGGAGGACTAACCAAAGGATCTTGGGTAGGTGGGGAGTGATGCACAGTGGGATAAATGTTGACTTGCTTTTCACGTACAATCGATGGAGGACTGTTTTCTTGCTACAAAACATCGATACAAATGGCTATAGTCACAGTACTCAGCAGTTTTGGAGCAGCAATGCTGAGCGACAGAGAGCATAAACAACAGCTGCTGGTCACCGTCCAACGACTAAGGCACGAAAGCTCAAACAAAAACTGAGTCGGATTCCAGGTTTGTGGTTTTAGACCACAGGCTTTGAAAGATTTGCCCCTGAAAGACTAACTTACCTTGATCAAAGGTGACGGGGAAACGCTCTCCATGGAGACGTCCTTTAATCTGCTCGACTGCACAGAAAATAGAGGGACTTCCTCATGAGCAGAATGAAAACAAACTTCGGGTCACGTCTCAAACAAAACTCACTTTTAAACGAACACACTCGAAGATTTTTTTAAACGCCACTATTTTCACAATCAACCCTTCCGGGAAATGAAAACGAAAGAAATATAATCCCTGCAGGGGGGTGTGTGCAAAATAGGATGATTGGAGGAAGCAACGACAGAGGACATTTCCAAAACCTTTGACTGCACTTGTTTAGACACGCAGTAGTATATTTACAGAAGCGCTGCAGCAGACGCTCTCGTTCATAAATGAAATGCGGGTGGAGGGAGGGTGACACCTATTTTTGTTTTATTTTTTGAATAGTTTTTATTTCTCTTTCTTTCTGTTTCGCTATTACGCAATACATACATGAGCGGTAACCCGTGTGGCCAGAAAATACAAGAAAACTACAGGAAGTGGTCGATGATAAGAAGTGCCAGAGATACTTAAGAGGTGTAGGACACCCCGGAACGGAGCAGCGCGTGCGCCGATGAAGCACAAGCTCCTCCCACTACCAGGAAGACTAAACTGCGGCGTGGCTGAGAGCCGACGAGCGCTGACTGTAAACGAAAGTAGGTAAGCGCTTTATCCGGGCAACTGGCACCGAGAGTCAGAGGGGCAGCCATGTTGTCCTTACCCGTGTGAACTGCGTGCTGCGTGAGGGCACCGTGTCAGCTGTTTGGATTCTCCTGAACGGAGAAAAATGATGGCCCGATATACTCTGAGTCTGTAAATCTACAAGTTTCAATCAAGTGCTCAACTTTAATTGGTTATTCAGTAATAACAATGTTAATAAACTTCTACTTGGCTTTAAAACAAATCAGCGGATTAAACATTAACTGCGCAACAAATAATGATAAGCAAAGTCCAGCCACACTGTGAGGGCGAACCATGTATAACATGTTATACACCGTGTCCTCACGTTGAACACCGCTGAACCTGAAAGCAGAAAGTTTTAGCCAAATATTTCATGTTTTTTTCAGTCATGTGGGCTGAACCACTGGGGAAACAGCTGGGCCGTCCCACGCGATCACTTGCAGGGTGGTTGGTGAGCAAGTGGCTCACAGCTTACAATCAGGTCCTGGAGGAGAGTGCTGTGCAGCTGTGTGCCATCCAACCTGGGGACACTGTGCTGGAGCTGGGCCATGGCCCCGGTCTGGGTCTACAGTCTGCAGCCAAACTGCTCACGGGCCCCACAGGCCACCTTATAGGGGTGGATTACTCAGAGTACATGCACCAGGTGAGGTAGAAAGAGTGGAATAAACAAGTCAAATTCAAGTTTATTTAATACATGTGGGTTGTTACTGTTACGAAGAGTGTCTTTGAAAAAGAGTAAAAGCACACAGCTTTGTTGTGGCCTCTTCAGCCTTGCTAAAGCAGACACATTGCAAGCCTTTAAAAAGAAAATGCACTATTTCGGAGAAAATACGCACACTGGCCACTTATTTCGTTACTTCACCGGCTTCAGAGCTGCCTGAGTTATCTGTGTCATAGATTCAACAAGGTGCTGAAAACATTTCTTTGATTTTGGTCCATATTGACATGAGGGAAAAATCACATTGTTGCTGCAGATTTGGCTGCTGGACACCCATGAAGTGATACCACCATATCTCAGAGGTATCCTCTTAAATTGAGATGATGTGGAGGCCATTTAAAGTCAGAATGAAACACTTGATGTTTAAAATCTAATTTAAAATCTCCCCAAAACTAACATAGATGTAACACTGTCTGTGTAGCTGGATTTAAGAAATAAGAGCTTAAAGTTTTTAAAACACGTTTAGCGCCATCTTGTGTCAGTGGAGAATGTGACATCACTAATGTGCTGATGTCTCCACTGATGCTGTGAGTTTATGCCAGCTAATTATTAACAGAACCAATAACTCATAATGAGACTAAAATCAGTTTAAGGGGTCACCTTTGTGCTGCCCGTGGCTGCAACAATGAGTTTTACGTTAAAACCAAGGATTCTGAACCTAAATGCCACAGCAGAAATCATGAACCATCAGACCATGCAGAGTTTTCCAATCTTCTGTCAAGCCCATGCAAATTAGCGTCTACTAGTGAACAATGTCCTGTTCTGAACTGATCGCACCTGGTGTGGTCTGGCCCAGCTTCTTTAAGGTTTGATGTGTTGTGCGTTCTTCTGCATACCTTTGTTGTATATTAAATAAATAAATAAAAATCAAGCACTGCTGAGCAGGCAGCTAAGACCTAAGAAAAGCATAGCTGCTAATCAGGGACAATATTGTAATTCTTCTGTGTCTGACAGATGGCAAAGAAACAAATGATGGAACTTATAGCGAGTAAAAAAGTGACGCTCCACCACTGTGACGTAGCAGCAATGCCTCTCAGAGACAGCACTGTGGACAGAGTCTTTCACTGTAACTGCTACTACTTCTGGCCTGATCTTAGAAAAGGAGCCGCAGAAATACACCGGGTGATGAAGCCAGGTAATGCCATGACAGTCAGGCAAACTTTATTTACAGATTTAGTTCCAAAACTTGTCTTTAAATAATGATTCTCAAATTGAATTTCCCCATCTTTTTAACCCACCCAGGAGCCCTGATGGTCACAACTCTGAGGCTTTCTCGTGTGGCTACGATAGCAGCGAAGGGGGTGATGCCAGGGGAAAACTGGCGCCCAGAGGCCTACATGGCAGCTCTGAGAGACTCCGGCTTCACTGATGTCAGAATGGAGGACAAGCAGGACAGAAACATTACTTTTCAGGCTATCTTTGCCACTGCCTTCAAATAAGATACTTATGCAATTATGAAGTTTAGTGTGATTACATCAGTCATTAATGGTCTTCCTTTTGAAGATGGATAAACTTGAACTTATCATAATGATAAACATATACAGATGAGAAGTTTTATATCATTTTCTGTCATTCCCTACGTGCAATGTTCTTACATCAGTACCAGTATACAGTATGGTGATTTTAAAGCTTCAAAACAGCATTACTGTGAAAAGTGGAAATAAAACATAATGAAGAACTCTATGGAGGAAACCCAACTGTATGAATGTGTAATCATGCAATAAATGGAAAACAGGAATAAAAGAATTAGAAAGAATAAAACACACAAGATGATACCAAAGTCTTATAGTGCTTCTGCTGTCAAAATAAAACAAAACTCATGGTGTCAGCTCCACCAAGAAATGATATATTTGGTAGCGTTGGGGTGTGTGTCATTTTGTCCTTAAACTCAAAAGCTCAAAAGCTTTTGAATGAATTCTGATCAAACTTTGCAAAGTGGGGACGTGTTAACAATCCATTAATAATTACTTTACATCCATCAACTTAATAATTGATGGATGTAAAGTCCACAAAAAGCATCTTAAAAGATTTTAAAATGTCATATCATAACTGACCTCTGTCCTTCAGGGTCAACAGATGGATCTGAAGGTCCAAGTGATAATGTGATATCAAGTTACTTATTACAGTTATGTTTCGTACTGTCACATAGACATACAGGCATTTAATTATACATGGGGATTATAAATATCGCGTTACTTTGGGCCTCTGTCTTCTTCTTCGAGATTAAATAAGGTCAAACTTTAATAAAAAATAAAGTCTACTGCACTTTTGCACTGGCAACATTTGGGAAATGATACTGTTATATGGGGTCAGTATCACATTATAGTTTGCTTCCAAATATAATTTCATATTTGACCTCTGATCTCGCTTTTACATTTCACCTGTGTCTTCTTTTCATTCAAGTTTACCCAAAATGCCTATATCTTTAAAGAAAGTGTTGTCAAGAAAAAGATGATGAACTGCTTTGTTAGTTAGATATACGGTAGTGTAAATTGTAGTGCAATATTAGATCACATGCTCAGGTCTTTTAAACCCTTTTTTTTTTACAAGTCAGTACCTATTATCCATTACCTACTCCTAGACAATATTTGTGTAACCAAAGTATACATTTGTCATGCCACCCTTATTTGAAACCTCTTAAATTACATTTGAAAAGAACAAAGAAAACTAAATTCATATATTGAAAATACACAAATATTACCTTATAAGTAAATACCGACTAGAGACCAGAAAGTCACCAGGAGACGCTTCTTGTTCCTTTTTGTAAGGCTATAAATGAAAAGTGATTTTAGTATCCTCTAAGAATCATATTTCACACATACACATGAATGGTTAGTTGCCCAGTGTTTCGAGCGGCAAGCAGAGAGGCTACTGGATTGCAGGATGATCACTGTAACACTGTTAAATTAAAAATAAAAATGATGCTGTGTTATTTGTGCGCAGAAGTAGCCTCCTGGTAGCTCACACTCGGGACCACACGGTGGCGGTAATTCATCTGAATAAATCCAACAGAAGAAGAAGAAGAAGAAGAAGAGCGGCGCGCGGGCGGTGCATACGTAAGGAGAGGGAAATCCAAAACAGAGTCGATGACGCTGCTTCGCCGAGAGCTGTGAAACTGACATTTCGATTAAGATAGACAGTGATTATCAAGTGCACAGCTGATAAAAAGTAAGTAAACGAGAGGTGCTCTCCACCTGACAAGTTGTTATTAGACTTTTTGCACTAAGGTGTTTATTTCTCGGCCTTCACATTAGTAAGCAAAGGCGTTAGCTCAGCATCACAAGAAGGCAGCTAACATCACAAACAAACCACTGTCTCATTGAGCAATTTGACAGTAAATGTTCTACGTTTAGGATTAAATTATTACAAGCGTGTGTGGAGACTGACCCACGAACTTTAAGTGTAACGCTAATTAGCCAGCTGCCTGTTTTTCAGAATGCAGAGGGCTTCTCGTTTGAAACGTGAACTTCAAATGCTAAGCACCGAGCCCCCCCCTGGGATAACATGCTGGCAGACCGAAGATCAGATAGACGACCTCCGGGCACGTATGTACTACTGTGTCACTTAAACGACTAAAGCTATACTTGCCAGACACTTTCTTATGTGCGTTGCTAGTACCAGGTTGGACCTCTGTGTTGCCTTCACAACTATCGTAATTTTTAACTGCGGCGGTGCCCAGTGTGGTCTCTGCTCCTGCGGCCCGTCTGCTTCTAAATTTGATGCGTTATGCGTTCATCGAGGCTCTTTTGGATTGTTTCCTTCCTATCAGCTCAAACCAGCGTAGCCATTTTCCTCTGACCTCTGAAATCAGTGGGGCATTTTGACCCAGATCTGCTGCTCACTGAACATTTTTCATTTTGGA